CCTGAACGTCGCATTGTACTGAAGCAAATTGTTGATATCCCGCACCCAGTCGTCCTCCTTACCCGGCCCGACGCCCTCCCCGCTCAGTCCGCCAATCGCGCCGTCCTCGTCCGGCCGCATCTGCGGCGGCTCGGTGATTGAAGAGCGGTTAATGCATGGGATGGGATGCAGCGACGCGCGGACGGTCACGGACTCTCCCGGAGAGAGGACGTGCGAGATCTGGCCGTCCATGGAAAGCCCAGCGGATGCTCGGGATCGCTCGCTGATCTGCGATACGGAGTCAACATCAGCGCGTCGATGTGGGTATAAACAAATTTTCCACTCACTCGCAGTGTGATAGACGAGGAGGAAGGGAAAACGAGAGGGCGGAACGACAGGCTCCGAGGGCAGATGGGAGTCAATACTATCGCACTCAGGGATGGATGGACGATCGGTCCTCCTGCAGAAAGCGAATACGCAGTCGAGCCAGTCGGAGTTGAGACGATCAGCCCATCTGACTGGACAGACCAATGGAGGTGATGAGCACACGTAGGACACGTCGAAGGAGCGACATAGCACGTACGACTGCTTCGGTTAGATGCTGGCCGTCTACGAACACATCAATGGTGTTCAAGTGCGGGCTCGAGCCGCGGTGCAGCGCAATCTCGTTCATGACTTGCCAATCTACGTGAGTATTAGAGATAGTTTCTCGGCAACATCTCAAGGGAAGAGACGCGCACCATCGCAATGCGTGTCGACGGGGGAGCCGCCAGAATCTTGGAATGAGCACGAGAGGCGCATCCGGTGTAAGACCGTGATGCGTCCCGCGAACGCGCTGTCGATAGCTTTCGTGTAGTCGTCAATGTCTGCATGCAGCGTCTTCAGTCCGGTACATATACCACATGACGTCACTGTAGTGTACTCACGAAACGGCAGCAGGAATCCCAGCGTGCCCATCGAGAAGCTGAGCACTGGCGGTACAGCTCCAACTTTGAAGAGAGACGACGCGTGTAGTATGGTCCCGTCTCCGCCCAGGGTGATGACAAGGTCTATTGGTTCTGCGTCCGGTCCTGCGGGCGGGTCAGGAAGTATCCGAGGACACTTCCAAAGTGTGCACGCACCAGGTCGCCACACCTTGGCGCCTTCGGGAATGTCTGGCCTGTCCTCATGATAGACCTGTACGTCTGGATACTTCTCGCGGATGTATCTACGTGTGTTCCTTTGAGGACGAAACACAGATTGTGGCGGACGTACAGAGCACGTACGTCAACAGGGTCTCTATTGCTTCCACCACTGGTTTCGTACGGAGCTTGTTGACGATGAGGACGGACCTCGGGGAGATGCCATGGTTGACGCGTCTAGCTTATGAGATATTCAGCGACATCTCGTAGGAGCACAACCAGAGCGGCTGGACGCGACGCGCTCGTCTATCGTCTGCCTTCATGGTGTCTCGCTCCCTGTGATAGTGAAGACCTGACGTACGTTGCGTATGACCGATGCCTCTGTACTCCACCAACTACTCTCCCTGTACTACTCCCCTGCGGTATTGAGAGTGGCCTTTTATGGAGCGTATGCAGCGGGCGGCGAGCGACGAAGCGAGACGACGATGCTCTGCACGCCGAGAGAGCAATCGAGAGCGAAGATAGAGATTTCGACATATCGATTTGATCTTGTACAAACGGGTGTTAACCACAGAGAATGTCCCAATACAGGTTAGCGGGGCAGAGTGTGCTCAAGAGCCGAAGGTTGCCTAGATCGAAGGTGTTCGGACGGCAGCAAAGCTGTAGATTCGACAATAGAGGGAACTGGAGGACGACAACGAGATGACAGCAGACGCGAGAGTCGACAGCAGTTGCGCGCAGTCGTGGTACGAGGTCAAGTGGCCTTCACAGGAAGCGCCCAGGAAGTTGTAAACAGGTATGTGTGGGGTCATCGCTCGATTTCACTTTCCTACATTGATCGTGTCATCAAGTAGAGCTGACATACATTGGCTAGGTAGTATACAACACAGCTGGTCCGATACATAGTCTGTATAACATATCGAAACTACGCCTCGACGTCTCCAAGCAGCCCGAACATCCCACCCCTCGCCGCACCCACGCCCCGACCAGCCGACTTTCCTGCAGCAGGAGCTGCAGCAGCAGCGGCGGCAGCTCGCGCATGCGCCTTCGCCTTCTTGTCCTTCTTTTTCTGCGGGAGCACCGAATACGCATCCTCGAGGCCCTCCAAACACGCGATCCAAACCTCTTCGGACGGCTGCCCGGGAGGAAGCGGCAACCTCCCGCTGAGCAGCGCATGGCACCGCGAGCCCGAGAACCGCCGCGCAGGGCTGTCGATGGTCGAGGAGAGGAGGAGAACCTGCGTGAGCTGCTCGATCGCGTCGACCGCCGTGGACACCTGCGTGACGAGCTGGATGTGCCGTTCGAGGGGAAGTGCGGGATCTTCGTCCGCCTCGGAAGCTTGAAAACTGACAGCGTCATGAACAGAGGAGAAAGAGGCCAGGACGGCTTTGGCTTCGGCCTGGGTCCACCGCTCGACGATGCGTTCCTTCACGCCGGGGTTCTCCTGCGCACGGAGGTGCATGGTCCGCACGACCCAGCGTACCGCAAGCACGCCGACGAGGTCCTCGTCTTCTACGCTGGAAACTCCAGGAGAGCTCGATGCGAGCGCGTTGAGGAGCACGGCCCTTCGAGTTTCCTCCGGCCAGAGCTGAGGCGGCACCACGAGGTCATGAGGGATGTCGAGCGACACACTCTTCAGCAGCTCAGCGAGTGGAGGGACGGTGACCTCCTCACCAACAAGTCGCGTTCCGCGCCGGAGGTGCTCCGTGATGACCTTCGGACGCGAATTCTGCGGCACCGCAAACATCGACACAAGATGCGGGACGTTCGTGCCTTGCGCATCCCCGTCAAGCTCCTTCAACGCGCCCCGCAGACGTGCGAGGGGGTCCGCCCCGGCCTCTTCATCGCTCTCATCCTCCTCCACGACGTCGACCAGTTCGTCCTCATCCTCTTCCTCCTGGTCTTCCGGCTCCGACTCTGGTTCAGGCTCATGCGTATTCGGCAAGCCAATCCCCGCATCGAGCACCGCGTACGTCCACATCCGAACTGGCCGCCCGACGGTCCGTTGCACAGTCTCCTTGTCCGGGTCCTCGAGGAACATCCGCGGCCACATCGTCCCCGTGTGCGCCGTGTCGAGAATATGCGGGTCCAGGACGCCTTGCCGATACGCTGCGATGTACCGCTCCTTGACCTGCTCCAGCGGGTCTTCGGCGCGCCCTGGACCCTCGAGCTCGTCGTCCAGAGCAGCGTCGCGAGACCGGATCAGACCTGAAAGGACGTTGACCATCGGGCAGGCTTCCGGCGCATGTAGCGGACACACGTCCGAGGCCCATCTCAAGCCCACTTCGTCTTCCCCGACGTCGTACCCCTGAGCACCACCTGCAATCGCGCCATCGTCGTCCGCCTTCGGGATCGCATACTGCAGCGTCGCCTCCGCGATGCGCTCCACGACCGCCTCCCGCTCGCCCGTCGCAAACGTATCCAGCGGGCGCACCAGCAGCGCAGTGACCGCCGCGTCGATCAGCTCCATGACGCTCCCAATCGCCTGCCTCTTGCCCCTCTTCCTCCCCCCGCCCGCCACGCCGCCGAATGCCGCCGCAAGTATATCGCTCAGCGTCCCCGCGACACGTGCGATACGCTGCCCGTGCGTCAGCCCGCGCTCGAAGAACAACCGTTGGAGGTTCGACCGGCCCTGTGTGCGGATCTCTGCCGTCGTGACTGGCGGGGGGCCCGTGTCGTCCGAGCCCGATGCGCCCGTGAAGTCGTTCCCAAGGAACGCCCCGAGCAGCGGGAGGAGCGAGACGGGGATCCCGAGGTGCGTGGCGAGCACGGACGGGTCGTACACCGCGAACGAGAGCCCGAGCTGCCCGTCTGGCTGCTCTGCGCTCCCCAGAGCACTGGGCGGGAGGATGCCCCGTCCGGCGCGGTGGTCCTGTTTGTCGGCGCGTTTTCTCTTCGACTTGGCCTTCCGCACGGTCTGGAAGCCGTCCTCGTCCCCGAAGGCTGATCCCGTCTCCGTTTCTCCAGACACCGAAGCCGAGTACACGCTTCCCTCGCCGTCCCACGTTGTCGTAACCGTCCAGACCATCTCATCGAGCGGGATGTAGCCGCGGTAGCCCTCTGTGTTGAGGACTACAAAGTCGGAGTCGCGGCCCGCGACATACGCGTTCAGCCGTCCGGCGAGCGCAACGGCGTATGGGTCGCCCTCCTCATCTGCAAAGTGCACGTGCAGCGCTCCACCAATGTTTTGTTCTGAGCGGGCGAGACGGAGGAGGGTGTCAACGCATACGCTGTACGCGAGCGGCGGGAGCATCGCAGTCTCATGGAGGAAGCGGGGCGTTGCGCGGGCGGTGGCGGAGGTGCGGAAGAAGAGGAGGCCGGACTGGATATGTGTCTGCGTGATGCGCGAGACGAGGGTTGGGAACTTGAGCGTCGGGTATGGGCCTGTGAAGCGTTAATTAATGAATCTCCAACGCTCCGTCGTCTGCCCTCCGCAGTTGACCCGTGTGCCCATCCGAGACATGCATGGTAAATTGTGGAATGCGACGTACCATCGAAAACGAAATGCAGCTCTAGCCCGACCTCCGTCCACGCCCGAACGACCTCCCGGACCAGCCTGGCGAATTCGGGGTACTCGCCGCCATAAACCCAAGGAAGGTCAGCACAGTAGATTATCTCGTATATGAATCTGCAGAGTGAGGCATTGTCAGCTGTAGCCTGTACATGGACTTCCTTGCGAACTCACGACCATGCGTCCACAACTACCGGAATGTGCTGCAGCTCAGCCTGCTGTAGGAGCTGAACGGTGCGTGAGAGGACATGCTTGTTCTCGCGAAGATAGGTGGTGAGGCCATGGACGCCCATGCCAACGATACATCGACGTCCCGGGGGCGAGAGTGCAAAAAGGGGATCAAGGACGAGGAGAAGATGGAAAAAAATCCCTCATAACTGCGGGATGATTGACGGAAGTGGGATTCGAACCCACGCCCTTTCGGACTAGATAGTCTTCAATTCGATCTTCAGACCTGATTCTAGCGCCTTAGACCGCTCGGCCATTCCGCCATACGTATGTCAGAACGTTTTTAGGGGAATCCAGATGCCTCATGAGATCCTCATGATGCTTGGCGAGGTCGATGGCATCAAGGAAATAGCCGAAACACCTAGATTGGATCATGATCGTCTGATCAGATCCAGAAGTTAGATAAGATCCAGATGTCCCATCCAGAGGGGCTCGGGATGGCGAGGGTCATTCACGATGATCACACATGTATAATAATTTAGAGACGGGCGCATTGGCGGTTCTAGGGACAACAGATAGCTACAACATACATGCACAATCGAAAGCAATAGGACGACGAGATCAAAACAGCAGATCCAAGATAACGAGCAGGTGCGAGATCGGCAAAGATCGTGGAACATCTACGTCGTGCGGGGAGTATCAGCGAAGAGAATGCGCCGGTTGCGCATGATAGTGCGAAGTCTGGTAGGATGTAGAGAGGTTTGAGCGATTAGTTACATAGGATAGAGCGGATAGTTACCTGTCAATATGCGCCGGCGTGAACGTTCCATGCGCATGCTAGAAGAATAGTAAGCGATGCGTGAGATGGATCGAAGCACTAGGATTTACCTTCGCAGCAAGGGTAGGAGAGTAGTTGAAGGGGAGTACGAAATTGATGCGCTTGGGGGGGACAACTTGGGTGTTGTTGCGCGTCGGCGTGAATGTTATCTTGAGCTCGAAGGCCAAAGTCTGCAGATGAATCGATCAGAAACGGAATAACGGCGTGATAGCGACACCTACCGCTTGAACCGTCTTGTAATTGAAGGACACTTGGCCGTTGATGGAGAGGACGGCGGCCATCGTAAAAACCTGGTGAAAAACATGTTAGAGCGACGGAAACCAGAGTAAATGGCTTTATACGTTACCGGGAGGAACCTCTTCGCGAACTTGAAGGGCATTCTGAGAGAGTGAGGCGGTATTGGGTGTAGAGGCGGCGGGAATGGATGACGACGGCGAGCGCCGGCGCTTGTGCATTCCAGGCGCCGGTCACGTGACCGCACTCGCGGGGCGCTTCCACACCCACAACCGCTGCTGCTGCCCCTTCAGATCGCGACCGTCTCTGCAGAAAACTATACGAAAAGACCACGAGAAGGCGGTCAGTACGATCGGCGCACGAAACAACGCGAACACTCACAGCCTTGCAGCGCTAATCTCTGGTCGTCGAGTCATCGTTCTTCGCCAGGGTTGCCTCCTTCCAGCGGCTTCGCAGAGTCCGCGGCGCGCGAGCGCGATCGGCTCCTCGAGAACTCGGCACCAGTTTCGTTCGCTGAGACGGGCGACGGGGTCTGGCGCTGCCCGTTCGGCTGTCCGTTCGGCTGCTGCGAGAGGTGGAAGTCGGACTGCGCGGTGAGGTTTGAGAACGAGGAGAGGTTGGACATGTGCGAGGAGAAGGACGAGGGCTCGCCGCCCGCGAAGGGGTTGTTCCCGCTCCCGTTCGTCGGCGAGGACGGGTTGTTCGACGGGGGCTCGTAGCGCATCGAGGAGCCGATGGCAGGGACGGTGGAATTGAAGTGCGAGTGGGCAGTGAACTCGTGGAGTGGATGGGTGCCGTGCACTGAGTACGGGCCATGGATGTTCTGGGAATGCAGCGAGGACGCGGGCGGGAGGGAGAAGGAGGGATTCTGATGGCCAAAGTGTTTATGATGCGATGATTGGTGGTGGGAGGTGGGGGCAGAGATGTCGAAGATGTTGTGGGTATGATGGGATCTGCAATCGTCGTACGCGCCTGGGGACTGGGTGGAGCGTTCGTGCGAGTTATTGTGGGGATGACCCTGGGAGGGCGAGGTCGCGATGAGCGAGGCCAGCTCGTCTGTGAAGTCCATGTTGCTGCCGTTCTGGTCGTTGTTGCTGTGGGAGGGGAACTTGCGGAACGGGTCTGGGACGGTGAAGAGGGGAGGGACGAAGAGGTTGTCGAAGTTGGTTGAGCCGGAGGAATTCTGGGCGGAGGCAGGGGGAGACGGGGGGCTGTTGGAGGGGGGCGGGGACGGGAGGTGGAAGCCCTCTGTGCGGGAGAGGACCTGGGGCTTGTAGGACGGGAAGAAGGCAGAGCTCATCGGACGGCGTGGCGAGGGCAGACGGGCTCGGACAGAGACTGTTTGCGAGGGAGAAGGGAGGGCGGCCGTCGACCCCGCATCCCCGGCAGGTACACCTGGGTCAGCAGTCCAGCGTCGCTCACCGTCCGCGTCCGCTGCTTACCCTTGCTCTCGTGCGAGAACACG